TACTTTCTTCCACCATTTAAACCCCTCCCACCCCCCCGCAAAAAATAAAAAAAATCGTGCCCCATTTCTACACATCCCAACTTTCACCCACATCATTAGTTCCCATCCATGGGGGTCTCGTTCCCCCTCATGGATGCTGGACATTCCACACCCAGACCCCACAGTGATGTACAAACACGGAACACGTCAAAGCTGCATGAGGACCCATGCACCTTCGGCTCACATAAAAACCTCAACGTTAAACAGGGTTAAAATAAACTACCACGCAGAACAAAACAAAAGGAAAAACACCCATTTACGTTTAAAACCACATTTAAGACGGGATGCTCCACAGTCAACACATTCACTGAGCATGCCCATCATCGTACAAACACATGTGAATATTTACATGCAGCAAGCAATCGCAACAAAGCATCCACTTCCTCGTCCCCTGGGCAAAGCACGGCAGTGGTGGCTTAGTGAGAGGTTCATTTGCATTTTTGACCACTGGGAGCTGAGTTGACCCTTTGGTTTGCTACTTAGCTCAACTGTATGACCAGAATGAGCAAGATGTTGAGGCGCAACTGTTTTAATGGTAAACATATCAAAATATTTAAAAATTTACATTTTAAAACTTTTGTTGAATTAAAATAGAATGAGTATCCTATTTATACCACATCCACCTCATGACACATCGCTCCTAATTGTTCATCTGTACACTGAAGAGATGGCTTGTTTACTGATTCAAAAGAGAACAGTAAGGTCATCAACTCAAATCGAAACTCAAGTTGCTCCATATTTGGGAGGAAAACTCACTTTAATTGGCTGGAAAACAAAAAACAGATATTATTTTTCTTGTGAGTTTGTATATTTGAGTGCCTGAACTCAACAGTTGATTCTGCTACAGAAACAGTAATAATGTTTTTTTTTGTTGTTTTTTTTTTCTCAGCACTGACATTCACTTAAAGAAAATCCTTCTCCTTTTCACCAGATGGATGAATTTGTCAATCAGTCCACATAGTTTTATTGTTATCTTTACCCCAAGACACCCTCCTGGAGTGTTGTTTAAATTTATGCAGCATACAGACTGTAAGAATTTCAATTACACAGCAACAGAATCTCTAGATCCAAAGTAACATTAGTGTCTTCAGTTCCTAAACTTAAAACCAGAAGATTCAGAGCTGTGGATATTTTTGTTCACCGCCTTCAAAATGTGCAATAGGAGTCTAACCGTTTTTTTTTTTTATTTATTTTTTTTTTTTATGAAAATTAAATTAAATACTTCTTTATTAAATGATTGAAGTAACGTTTATTCCTTTCAGATGATTATTTCTGGGTGTGAGAAGGCTCCTCTCTGTACACCCTAAAGGCACCGTCTAGTACTGAACCAGTTCCTTTCTGCAAATTATTCTTGTCAAAAAAAAATTAGAGTTGGACTTAAATATGGTGGCTTAGAAATTGCAAAAATAAACCCTGCAACCTACTAAGCATCAACCAACAAATGTATTTATGAATGCAAAATTCTTTCATTCACCTTCTCTCACTTTCTTTAAACACTTTCTAAATTTAACACTTTCTTCTTCATTCAGTAAAACCACCACATCAAAGACATTATGCGAGCTAAAATTATAAAATCAGATTTTCGTTATTATTATTCTTCATGAGGCAACTGACCAAACAACCCAAAAATGGAATAATTCTCATTACGCATTGATTGTTGCAACTCTTATTTATCTGGTACTAAAATTTAAAAAAAATAAGTCCTGACATAAAAACTGCTTGCAGAGTTAAATTTGTCTTACTTTTTATTTCTTTCTGATTGGAGATTCCAAACCAAGTGTCACCCAGTTCCCAGCCATCATGTTTTTTTTTTTTGTTTGTTTTTTGTTTTTTACCAAATATGGGTCAATGAATATTTGCAGTGGCATTATGCAACTTTTACATGGGTAAAAGTTGAAAATAAAACATATTAGAAGCCAAAGAAAGCCCAACTAGATTTTAATCCCAACCAAACTTGATTTGACTGAATCAAAGAACCAGATTTCTGTGCAGGGGGAAGAAAGGGAGGGGTTTCAACCACCACCAATCCTGGGAGGCCTGGGGGGAGGGGGAGGAGCATGCACATGGGGGAGAGGGGGCGACGTCAGGGTCTTCTCCACGTTCAATCATTCCTGTCGGAGAGAAGCAGTGTGTCTTTAAGGAGTAGTAATGATTTCCTGTTTTAAAATAAAACACAGGTACAGTCGTTACAATCTGCAGGGTTTTTCTCTCTATAAATGAAGATAATATTCAGATTTTGGAAATGCTAAGCACAATTTAGGAAAGAAACTGTTGTGAATTTGATTTGACTTGTTCTCCTTCTCGAGGTACCTGTTCTAAAAGTGACAGAAAATATGGGTGAGCTTTGTGAAATGAAAAGATGAGGAGGATGGACGTGACCAGGAGTCAACAGCCTGATTCACTGAGGCCGTTTGTGAACATAAAGTTTTTTTTAACAACAAAAACATTTTGTTTTGTTGAGGTTTTTACATTTTGTGTTTTCACTGTTATCTGTTTCTTCTTCTGTTTTTTTTTTTTTTTTTTTTTTTTTTTTTTTCCCCCTCCTTTTCCAAAAAAAACCCCTTTTTTTAAAAAAAAAAACTCATAAAAAAAAAATTTCCG